AATATAAGCACTGCCATTTTGTACTTATATTATGATGTTATATTTAAGTATGTAAGAGGTATGTATCATGATGACAGGACAGATGTTTCATAACTTGCCCCTTTGTTTCCCTCCTGCTGATGTCAATGTATATGGGTGACCATGAGAGGTAATGGGGGGGGGGACAAATTACCAAACATGCATGACCATGCAAGTGCCTCGGAAGTTGGGATGCAAATATGTAATGCAGACATTTGTGTGATGATGTCACTGGGTACATGGTGTCATGCTGACATTATTGTAGCTTGCTGTGGATGTTGCTAAATCCCCAAAATTAACCATGCTGAGCATGATGTGTGAATATAGCAAATAGGTTTTTAACTGACCTAGTTCAATATATTACATGAACACAGCCATGCAGTACCATCAAAGAACCATATACCGGAACAAACTTCTAAAAAATAGATAGATGAATCTGAAATCTGTAACTTTATCTTTCTGATTTCTCTCCGAGCCTTTCATCATATTTATTCCCTAAAAATATTGTCTTGGTTTCCTGATATCTCAGCTTTGAGATTGGATAATGTTCTCAAGCAAAATTCCTTTTCTTTCCTTTTGAGTTTATTTGCTTTTCAAAAAGTCTTAGTGATTACTTGTCTCTGCACCTGAAAGTCTATCTTCTAGCTAGTACATGAATCTGTCGAAAATGTATGGTCATCATCTAAGGACTTCCATATCCTCCTACAATCTAAAGTTAGATTTCAGGTAGTAATTGGATAGAGACCTATCCCCTATTTATTGAATGCTTTTATTCATCAATGATAACTGTCATATAATTAGGTGCCAGTCAAATACCTTTTAGAAATTCAAGCATTTCAGCATGTAATTTAAGTAGGCTTTATTATGGCTTCTTCCATTCTGCTGGAATTTGGGGCTTTTTTTTACAGTACATCTGGCTGTTTCATTCTATGCCAACTTGTGAGATTTAATAAAGGAGGATTTTTATAACCAAGATGTCCAAAAAGAGTCAGTCATTCAAAACATTGAATGATGCCAGGTTAAAGTTCATCTTTAAGAAGAGTTTTGATAGCAATGATTACTGATGACACATTGCTACATGTTTCTTTCTTTCTTTTAGTTTTTGCCTATATGCATTTTGAGTATCAATGAGTTTTCTAGAAGTATACATGCAGGCCTCCTTAGCTGAATGCAAAAAGGCTTGCTCCTCTAGGAAAAGGCAGGATCATTCTCTTGTTTTCAAGCTGTCAGAAGGTAGATGTGATGGTAATGCTGCACCTAGATGGGTGTATTGTTGCAGATCAAGAAAGGAATCAGGCCAGGTGAGGAATGCTTATACAGGAAGTGGCCCAGCTGAGAAGCCATAAAGACATGGGTTCAACCAACCTATCATTAAATGCATTCTGCAGTTTTGCACAAGACCTGTTGAGAAATGTAGTGATGGTGAACAGGGAAATGGGAAGGCTGTTAGGGGAATCTGCTTGCCAACAGGGAACAAGTCTCTAGAGGTTGAAAACAATTATGGAAGGGCTTCTAGGATAGCAGGATTATTACAGGATAGTAGTCCGGATGGGATAATTTATGTATCTTAGATATTTAAGTGAGTGCATTTGTGGGGCAGGGGGACCGGGACAGGACAAACACTGAGTACGTTGAACTTTTAGATTTTAAATGTAGCTGTTCAGTTAACTTCATGTTTTAGTTTATTTTTTTTTTTTTTTTTTTGGCTTGGTCTAGCAGAGTGGTGTCTTTTTATGGTTTTTGAGATGTTTCACTGAAC